AACTTAATAAAATAAAGAGTAAAGTGCAATTGTTTTTAGAGAGAATTTGGTACAAGTGATCGTCGGAAAGAGTTAGTAATTTGCGTCCCGCTACTGACCACTTGTTTGTTTTGTGTAATCTAGAAGATGCAGTTGATGTACTGCCAGTTGTATAAACTTTAAATAACTAAGTACTAGTCTTGCCTTTGTTAATTGATACCATCTTTGTAGTACTAGCAAGATTGTTTTGGTTAGTGTCCTCGTCTGTATCGATATCTGAAATCAGATTATATGAGATGTGTGCTATGTCTTTAGGATATTTTGATATGAGGTATGACTTCTGTGTTTGCTCATATGCCTTGATTGTTACTTTTATGTCACAATTACGAGTAGCTCTAGGTAGTTTGGTATTGATATTTACAGAACTGCGTTTAGTACTTGTAAGGTTAAATAGGATTAATTTGGTTATATCACTGTGTTTGCATATCTATTGTGTAAGGAATTTAACCATATTTGTATATTCACGAACTGAGAGAGTTCTGCAGTAAAGAAAAATTTGTTCACAAATTCTGGGATATGAAAGGTAATAATAAATGTGAGTTTGGACTAGTCTTTAATATTAATGTCTACAAATTCTTTGGTATATTTGGTGGTGGCATGCTTGTTAGAGATGGTGGGTGTTGTGGTTTTAAAACTTGACTTGATGGTAAGATAGGTTAAGGGTTTATAATAGAAAAGCCGCTAGAGGAGCTGGTGTTTGTAGGTGCTTGCTGGGTAGTTGTTTTAGGTCCTAAGTGAGCTTGGTTGTTGTTGTTAGTTGCTGTAGTCTTGCTGCTAGTTGCAGCATCTATTGTTGTGGAAGGGTCTATACATCACAAAGTATAACCAAGTATTTATTAAATATTTGTTAAGTATTTTAAAAATATTTATTCTAATTATTTATTAAACCTATCCCAATGTACCTTATATTCAATAAACACTAGCATTTAATTACAATTATTTAACACTAAGTAAATATTAATTTAATATTAAAATAAAATATAATTTTAATATTTATATTAAATATTTATAATATATTTATTACTAAAATTAAATTAGTATTTAATAAAATTATCAATTAAGTATTTAAATTAAATACTTATAAAACATTTATATTTATATTTAATAAAATATAAATTAAATATTTAAACCAAATAATTATAATACATTTATTAATAATATTAATTTTATATTTAATAAAATTTATACTAATTTATTGTCACAAATTTTTTATTTAATTAAAAAATATATATATATATAAATATAAAAAATATCTAATCTAAAAAAAACAAACAAAATTAACAAAACAGAAACAACAATAACAGCAAAAGTTCCAGCAGCACAAAAAAGCCAAAGACGAAAATCTAACACAAAAATTTTAGTAATGCTAAGAAAAATTCGTCAAAGTTTGCAAGAAAAGGTCACAAACTAGAAAAAGTCCATCAACAACCCCAAGAACAACAACCCTGAGAATGACAACCCTAAGAAACTACAGCCCCAAGAAATGATGATTCCAAGAAACGACAGCTCCAAAAAAATGACGGCTCCAAGAAAATAATAGCTCCAAGAAATGACGGTTTCAAAAAATAACAGCTCCAAGAAATGAAAGCACCAAAAAATGACGATTCCAAGAAATGACAGCTTCAAGAAAATGATGACTCCAAAAAATGGTGGCTCCAAGAAAATTATGGCTCCAAGAAAATGATAGCTCCAAGAAAACGATAGCTCCAAGAAAACAATGACTCCAAGAAAACAATGAATTGATAAAAGTTTTATCAAATTATATAACTAATAAAACTTTGATATTAATAAAACTCCTAAAAATTAATAAAA